AATTTGGCCAACGAGTAACTTCGCCATACACTTCGTATTATTCTTTTTTATCTTCTTTTCATATTTTTTAAAATTATGAAATTAACGAAAAAAAAAAATTGGTTAATAAATTTGCAATATGAACAAAGCAAAAAAAAAAAAAGAAAAATGAAACAACAACAATGATGTAATTTTTGTTGTTGTTGAAAAACAGATCACTTTGCTCTTTTGGCAATTGGGCAATTAGAAAGTTTTAGTTGGTTCAGTGAAATGTTCACTTCAAAAAGGGAGACTGAAAATGTTGTAAAGTAAAACATTTTTTTCTTTTTTTTTTTTTTTTTTAACGTTCTCTAATGAAAAGCAAGAAAAAAAAAAGTTTTCTACCATCATACACCAGCAGCATCAACGTCAGTAAAAGCGTCTTCGTCATCGTCATCGTCATCGTCATTGGCATCGGCAATCGGCATCGGCGTCGACGTCAACATTTGCAGTGTACAATTGAACATATTGCTATATCACATTTGCAGCTTCAATCGATTTTAAAATTGCATAGGTACAGATGATGCAGAAGAAATATTTGCTGTCAATTTGATATCTGTTATGTGCAGTTTGCACAGGTGGTGATGCTTTTTGATGCTTTTTTTTTTTTTCGAAAAGGCTTTATTCTATCAACTATTCAGCTACTTTCTGTTATTAAATTTGTTTTAGCAGCAAATAATGTTTTACTTGGTTATAACATTTTTTTGTAGAACTTGATATTTCTAGTGCTTTTTTTTTTTTTGTTTCTTTTACATATAAACCACGTGAAATTTTATGCGTTTGATATACACATGCTGAATGGGGATGATAATTGAATAACCATAAAGTATTTTATCAGTTAAGTCATAATGTTTAATAGTTTATTGTCGTGTTTCTGTGTTTATATTATCTATTTAAAAAATCTAGCATTTTTTTTATCATTTGCAGTATAACAACAAAAATTGAAAAAATAAAATGCTTTATGTTAGTTGAAGTATACAAAGTTTTATTCATTTATCTTAATACAGTTTGATAACCGTGACAAATATAATCAACCCAAAACTATAGATTTTTGATTTGTGAATAATGTTTTTTTGTTTTCTGTTTTCTATTTTTCTTTTGTTTGTTTACTTAGCCAGAAATTAGTGCCAATTATAAATTGTATGAAGTAATAACACTAGCAAACTGAAAAATTTCAATTTATTGGTTAAAAATTTGGGATTTTTTCTCTTTAGCATAGTCATTTTTATTAGACGGTATAGAAAAGTAAAGGAAGAAAATAAAAAAAAAAACAAAAAGGAGGAAACTGCAAATTTATAATTAAAATTTATCAACTTTTTGTTTTTTTTTTAGTTTGTCTAAAATTATTATTGGTGGTTTCTTTCATCATTTATAAAAGACTGTTTTTCTGTTATATGGTTTGTTTGTTTTAGGTAATTGCAGAATGCACAGATTGGTATAATTAATATGACTAAAAACACACACACAAAAAAAAAAAAAGTTGAAATTTAAAAAATTGGTCTCTATTTTTACCATAAAAATGTCTCACTATTATTATTTATTATTGCATTTCATTTTTTTTATCTTTAACCGCGCATAGACCGCAAGTTAAAGCAGCGTTGGCGCAGTGCCAAATAATACATGTTCGGCTGTCACAATATCGAATTGAATAAGTCAATAGTTTTTGTCAAATTTAAAGGCCAGTAGGGTAATCGTTTTAATATTATAAATTTAGAGCTTTTTGATAGAAGAAACTGGGAAAAAAATAAATAAATAAATAGTAACTGTCCGTACTTCAAGTGTCTGCGTTTTTTTTTTCCTTTTAACCGCTTGGTGAATCAAAAAAATTGAATTTTTCTTCAAATAAAGAAACAATTTGAGTGTTTCATATTTTAGAAAAAAAGAAAAAGAAAAATAAATGAACAAACTTTTTCCGAAAAAATTTTTTTTTTTTGCTAGATTGCTGTCAAAGAAATTTCCTTTTTCATTGGCTGTGAATTGCGCGGTACCAAATTTTTTCAAAATGAGCGTCTGTCAAACTAATTTTTTTAGGACTCCTACTTTCTTTGCTGACACCCACGACGACTACTTTTTTTTTCTTACCCAATATTCGAAAACATACTTTCACTCTGTTCCTCTTTTCTACGCTTCTTCAAACATTTTTTTCTGATGACTACTTTTACCGTATTGTTTTTCTTCCTTTTCGGTAATATTTGAAATGTTTAGACATTACTGCTCATTTAACTATTATTTTGATATGCAAAAGACATTTTGGTCAAGACTTACGAAAAAGTAAAAGAAGGTTAGACAACTGAAAAAAAAATTGGAGCGAATATATCGAATTGCTCAAAAGTATCATTTAGACGTTCACAATTAATCCTCAAATATTAAAAAAATGCCACTGTGTTATGTCTGCCGTTGAGTTCATTATGTATTTTTTTTTCCTCTGCGAGTATTCTTTGTTCCTCTAATCCTGCTGTTTAGGAAACTTAATCAAAAAAATTGTTGAGAAAAATTTTCATCCAACTGTTCTGTTCCATGTTAAAAAGTAATTAAAGTGAAATTTCTCCACATTCATTCAATTCTGAAAATTCTTGCCGGTACCGTCAGTAGTGAAAACGAAGACAAGAGTGAAAGATCTGATTATGACGGTTTTCTAACAACGTCTGCATAGTCTTTGCTTGTTCTTCCAACGGTACGATTACTTCAGGTTTTATGAGATCTAGCACGCTCAGAAAAGTTGGTGTTCCAATGGTACGCATTTTTGATCACAGTGCCTCAATAGAATAGTCGATTTTGAATTACAATTATTCCTACAGATTTAACAATTTCTCAAATAACTTCTCATCAACAGCATAAAACAGAACCATAAAATAGCGTTGATTGTATGAAGCCATATCCTTTAACCACGTACCTGTTTGTTTACCCTACGACACAACGGATCAAGGACTCCAATATCGGGGCGTTAAAACAAAGATTATCTGGTCGCCCGGCTGCAAGCTGGAATGCCTTAGCAATGACGGCTGAAAATAATAACGCCTGGCAGCGTGCCATTTCGACACAGCCTTTTTGCAAAAGAAGTGTGTAGCCGAATTATGTATTAATGTCCACTTATGCGGCTGCTATCGGCAGCGAGTTCCGCCATTTAGATTCGTCGGAAACGAACTAATTTAGGTTTTTGTTGGCACCCGATCGATAGACAGCGGACCGGTTCAGTTGTATAGCAAAATGAAAAACTGTTTGTAAATGGTCATTTGTTGTAGTTGACGTGATATTTGTTGTTTTTTTTAAGCTCTTCGCAAAAAGTAAATATAAAAAATAAAAAAGAACAAAAATAAGAATAAAAAGTGCTGACTTATTTGCTGTGTGACGTTTGGCTTGCAGTTGAACATTTGATCTAATGGTTTTCTTTTTTTTTTTTCTTTTTACCAGCTATTATGCCTACTTATATGAAATTGATTAGTTTTTCAAAATTATTTTTTTTTTTCTACCTGATTATTGCATTTCCGTTGTTGGTTTGTTTCGTTACCACTTATTTACTCAACTTGTTGGCTGCTTACTAGACATCTTTCATTCTTGTAATTTATTGCTTTTTCAACAATGGTCTGTATCGTTTAAAGTAAATAATGTTTTCTGAATGTCTACATTTTTTCCTTCTTTTTTTTTTTTTTCTTATTAGACTGTTTACTTTATTTTTTCAGCTTAGTTCGAATGGAAATGCAGTTTGAAAATGATGTATTAGCAGTGCAGCCTTGATCTCCTTTTTTGATTTTTGTTTTTTGCAAAGAAAATCTTTTTATTTGACTTTTGAATCTGTTGTCGACCTTCCTCTAGACGTTAATGTGAAGGAATTATTATGTCTTGGGGACAGCGTTCAGTATGTCACTTTCTGAAGGATAACAATTTGTTACTCTCTTCCGCAAGATGCTTAACTCAACAGTAAGTTTAAGCTAAAATTTGTTTAATTGCTGGCATTTTGCTGTACTTTTTATGAAGGAACTGTTAAAATGTAGTTATTATCTTCATTTTTAGCGCATCGGCTTTGAGTGCCGATGTAGTGGTTTGTGGAGGTGGAATTGCCGGGACTTCAGTAGCATACCACCTCGCGGAGCGAGGAAAGAAAGTGTTTTTATTTGAACGTGACAGGTACTTTTTTTTACTTGTAAGTCACGTTTTGGAACAGATTAGCTTCACTTTTTT